CCCTTTTCCCTCGGTCGTGCGGAGTCTGTCGTGGCATAAACACAGCGTGGATGGACTCGCCTTGGGCGATGATGAAAGAGCTATCGATGATGAGTTTGTCGTCGAGGCCAGGGCCAGAGCGTCACGCCGCAGGTGAGAACGACCGACGCTCTTCCAGTAGCTCCGGGCTGCCTGAGACGAGGCCATGATGATTGTTCCGGCTGTATATCGCACTGATGGGCCTGTAGAAGGGGGTGCAATGGAAGGCAGGGCGATGAGGCTCTTTCATAGTACAAAACTGAGGCCATCTGAACCGGACCTCATGCTTTTCTTTTCCAGGTGCCCTGGCACTTGATGTCATGGGCGGGCCAGACCGAGTCACAGCCATACCTCTCGGGGCCTAGGGAGAGCTTGGTGGATGCAATGAGTAATGCCCCCGGGGCACGCGGGGTCCGGCCAAGGCCCCGAAGCGGTGCTTGTCGGATGCCACGATAATGGGCCGGGATGGCAGGCTGTGCGTCAGCAGGGAAGGATTTTCCCCTGGTCGTCTCTCGTGGAGTTTCGACCTCGTGATGATGGATGTGCATTGTCTCTTGATGATAAGTGGGATGGTATTCTGAGGGGTGAGGGGAGTCATGTTCTGATCACCATCACAGAATTGCCGTGGCAGAGGTCGCTCTTGACAATTGACGGCCGATGACGACAGGGGGAGGAACGACCGCCGGTGTGTCGGGGCGCATTTTGCAGGTGCCGGATCCGGAAGCACGGACCGTCAAAGGGTCCAGGCGCAACCCGGGAACTCCTTCCTGACCTTGCAGATCGTGTGGAAGCAGCAGGTGCCCAAGACGGGCAGTTGCCAACGACAGGAGGCAAGGCGATGGCTGCTGTTGATCAAGGCGGCAACAGCGACCCAAGTCTGTTCATGAATCAAAGGAGGCGCAAAAGAAATAGAGAGAGAGATATCTCACCGGCGAGCTTCCTGGTGACGATCCATCAGACAGTCAGCCAAGTCAGGCTGACAAGTCGTTCATGGTCGACAGACGAAGCAGCGATGAACTCCAAAGTAAATGCATTCCAATAGCAAGGTAGGCAGACGGCCATGGCACATCCTGTCCTCCTTCTGTCATAGATACTCGTACTCGCACGTACATGCGCCTCTCCCGCTTCCTCTTCCTCTTCTTGTTCGCCTTCTACTTCCTCGTCTGCTTCCTCTTCTTCTTCTTCTTCTTCTTCTCCTTCTCTCCTTACTGCAGCATCGAGTCAAGACTCTCACCCAGCACGCCCTCAATCTTGACGATCCACCGGTGCGTCTCCCTCTCCACGGCCTCATCGTCGTCGTCCTGGAGCTCGCTGATGTAAGGCAGCATTTCCGGCAGCGCTGACAGCCACTCCTCGCCCAGCTTGTCCGTGAGCGCCTGCTGGCACTTGACCGCCGCCAGCCTGACGCCGGCACGCTCGTCCCGCAGGTGCTTGAGCACCGCCGTGTTGAGCTCCTTCTGGTGGTCCGCCGAATCCGCCGCGCTCGCGAGCTCGATGAGGGCCGGGATGAGGTGTGCCCCGACATCCAGCTTGTCGGAACCGCCGGCCCGCGTGAGCTGGCCCGTGAGCACCCCTGCGACACCGCCAAAGTGCGCCGGCGCCTGCCAAAAGTCGTCCTGGTCGTGCTCGAACGACTGAGCCAGCGTGCCGAGCACACGCGACCACAGCTGCCTCTGCTCGGCGTCCG